CCAGAAGGAGAGGGAGGAAGCAGTGTGTGTGTGTGTGTGTGTGTGTGTGTGTGTGTGTGTGTGTGTGTCAGAGAGAGAGAGAGGTTATCTCCTTTTGCAACTGGAACTAAGAGTGTGTGTCCATCTCTAGGAAAAGTGGTCTGCAATGGGACTGGGACAGAAGTAGGAGTGAAGTGTCAGCTAAAAATAGGCTCCGCACGGAGAGGCTGTGGAAATGAAGATAAGTGGGGCTTGTGCCAGCCCGAGGGTGTTTGTGTGTGTGTGTGTGTGTGTGTTGTGGGGTGTATTCAGCAGCACATGCGCTGTGTAATTTCTGACCTTCCCTCTCCCTGTCAGTTGCCCCTTCTTCCTTTGATTGTGGCTAATGAAGAATAATAAATCCAGGGGTAGGGTTTGTCAGTGGATCCTTCCAAGACTCAACTCACACTGTACTGGATACAGGGAGGAGGAGGAGAAAAGGGGGGCAAGAGGAGCGTGCGTGTGTGCCTGTGTGTATGTGTGTGTCTGTGTGTTGTGTGGGGGGGAGACACGGGGAGGGGGAGGAGTCGCATGCGCACAGACGACCCGAGCCTGCTCCGCGGCTGTCCAATCCGCTGAGAGCTGCGAGAAATCGAGTGAGAGAAAGCCCTGCAGCCCCTGCGACCCCATGTCTCTTTGGCACCAGGCACCCGCCGGACCGTGGGGTGCTCGTAACAGAGCGCCGACCTCCTCTCGTATTGGGGCGGGAGCTCAGAGCGGCGCGCAGGACCAGGGTTGGCCGCAGAGTCTGTGTTCTCAGCGGTGGCCGGGAACCTGGGATCAGGGTCACCTGAGCTGACGGGGTGGGGGCGGGCCGAGTGGGGTTGGAAGCCTGGAACTTAGTGGTAAGCAGGAGGCGTGGGAGGAGGCAGCCAGGTAAGAGGCACTCCCAGTAGTCCAGGGAAAACCCTACCCAACGCTGGCTTGGGCCGCAACTTTATTTGGGAGTTTCTTTTTCCGGTGAGACAGAGACCCGGCAGAAGAAGCGGGAGGGGCTGGAGGCTGGTCCTTAGATAGGCACTGCCTGGCGACTGGAGCGCGGACCTGGCCACTTGGGTGGGGTTGAGTGGGGGCGCGATTGTGAGTAGCAGCCGCGGGACGCTGCAAAGGGGCGGCGGCAACAGAGCGCCGGTGGGGGCAGAAAAGGGGCGGCGGAGGGCGCGGTGGGGGAGCGCGAGGCGAGTGCGGGGAGAGCAGAAGGAGTCAAGCCTGAGGGGAGTAGAGAGGGAGAAGGGGCTGCTCGCCTTCCCCAGGCGCCCAGTGCCTGCACCTGCTCCCGGTCAACCCCCGTCCGGATTGGGCCACCCGCGGGTTCCTGCGTCGGGGTTGCGGGGCCTTCTCACCCTCGCCTGCACCCTGCTCCTTCCGCTCTCTAGGGAGGTGACAGAAGCCCCCAACACCGCGGGAAGT